TTATACTGTCGATAATTTCCATTGATATTTTAAAAAGTACAAATATTTACAGAAAATCACATTTCAAATTAGTACATTAGTAACAGTCACTATGGAAACTGCATCAGTCCAGGCATTAATAGTGCAGGCCATAGCACCCTGTTGAACAGTGCTTATCAGACCTCAGAAGATAACTGGAATGAATGACCTCAATGGAGGCCTGTTGCTCCAGTAAGTAGAGTTGGTAATCCTGTAGGTGACACTCTTCCCTCTGGACCAGAACTCTTAAACCAAAGCCCCTGTATAGTGACAGACAACACTGTGCCACAGCAGGGGCAGTCCTTCAAAGATGTTAAACCAAGGTCTTGTTACTGTTTTGTCTCCAAGCTGCTGGCTAATTTGAGTTTTGGGATTTGCCTTATTTAGCCTACCTAAACCGTCCCCTTCATGCAGTCAGTGAAACCATTTCTCAAGTGTTTTGTAATTCTATAATGTAATCCTAGCTTCCGCCTGCATTCCAAAGGGCTTGTTTTAATTCCCAGAAAGTCCTCAGCCAGCAGCAGGTAGACGTAATTCAAAAGAATGGGACCACGCCTAATCTTTCATTCACACCGAGAGCCAACACCTGCTTTTACACACGTCGTTCACGGAAGTGTGACGCATGAGCGACATTGTACACACCACACTTGCTACACCTGTTGTACATTGCTATGCGAGGAAGTATTTTTTTTAATGGAAGCAGGTATAATAGTAGGATCTAATAGTATAATAGTATAATACAGTATATAAAATATAATATATAATAATTGTATAGTAACGGGGTAATAGTAAGATATACTGTGTAGGGGCAGTAGCATTTAGGAATACACTATAAACAATAACTTACGCAATGCACTAGTATTTACTAAGGACACTACAGTCAGCACAATGTGTAACTATGTGTTCAGTTATATTATCTATCCGATTCTATACGATGTGTTTGTCATCTATCCTTTTGATAGACAAGTAACTTTTCGAATTCTGAAACAAACTTTTGGAATTCTAGTTTGTGAAATTAGCCTGGAACATTTTATTGTCGAACACTGCTTTGGTTACACAATTGATGGTTTATATTTTTATGGTGTAAAACCTGAACTTTTAGGTCAAGAAATTGTTTTGATTTTTTTTTAATTATACCGTTCGTCTTATTTTAATACCATTCTGAAAACTGTACGTCTACGTAGTCAAAGTGCAGTATTCATACTCTATGCATGGTAAATGAATATAGGACAGTACTGTGTTCTCTGCCACCCTCGTGTGACATTAAAAGGTATAACATCATTTTCCTGTAATCATTTCCATCGGTCACGATGAACTGAGATTTGAATCGATGAACGACATACTAATAAAGTATCTGCCAAATACTAGAGCTGACCAATAAAATACAATTAAAAGTTTTTTTTTTCATTTCTATAAGATTTTTCTATAAGATAGTTTAATATTGTAGGGCCATCAGTGTTGACGTGTTGTTTTGTCGGACAAGAAAACACGTCACATTCTTGTCGTACCACAAACTGGGTAGATGCACAACAGTAAGAACCTTTGCAGAACCCTTCCTAACTTAATGTGTCTTCAAGCTTTCGGACGTATTCAAATGTTACATAATCTAAAATTAGCATTGTTTGTAAGTATACAATTAGTTTATTAAAACTAGACACGAAATTGGGAAACCTGAACCATAAGAAGATAATTAGTTCAAAGCAGTGCTTCACACAGCCTCACCAAAAACAAATGCCTGATTAACAAAGTGTTCTCTAACTATCATAAATGACAGAGTAACCACCTTTCTGTTGGCCTGTTAGCAAAATCGAGAATACTTTCATAAACGGGTATTCGTTTTTTACCCAACAACCTGTTGGTTTTTCCATGACTTACTCAAAAAATGTGCGGTATTCTACGTCTCACTTATCCGCAATTCTCTTATGGAATTTTCTAACATCCCATGAGGAAGTGTGGAGGAGCTCAAATATTTTGAAGTTTTAGGTCACCAAATCATTAATCAAAAACATTCTGAAAGAGTAGGCGCGCATGGATAACGGAATGTATTGTATATAATATTTATTGTGGAGAAAATGTCTTCTCCCCCCCACTACTAGGCTCTGTTCAAAAGGATCTGTCATGAGTTTGCAGCCCGTGGTTCTGAACTCGTTATGACAGGGAGTTAGAAATTAGGTGTTAATCTGAATTACCATCGGCGGAGTACCCATGCCAGCTTTCTTTGCCATTTGACAGTGTAATAGTTGTTTGTGGCAACGTTTCAGCTAAATCTAGGGGTGCACATGACTGGATTCCTAATGACCTAAAAAAAAGTGTTCTCTAGTATGAAATGCTGATTTATGAAGTGCTTGTAAAAAGAACAGGGCTGCCAGACCCTGTAAAACGAAGGGCTCTATTGACTCACACAGCAGGTACAGTAGGGGGCAGTGGCAATGTTGATTTTCAGAGCCTGGAAGGTAACTTTACCTCAGAGCTGCTCAAGGAGTCCCAGCCCAGAGCCTAAGGGGATACGCAGCTCCACTTGCTAATGAATTCTGTTTCTATGGCAGCCTGGAGGTGCAAATCAGTTCTATTGGAATGTAATGCTCTTGAGAAGAGGTTGCTGGAACCTGGATCGCTGAACTATGGTCATGATGTTTCTCAAGCTGCCAATTTGTATAGCTTTTGGATAGAGAGGGGGAGAGGCAATGGAAACAGACGTTTCTTTTTTAAGGAATTTGGAATTGGCCATTATTCTTTTTTTTTTTCTGTGTGCAATACTTGATGGTTTGCAGCTATTCATGTCCTATAGGCGGGACCCATCATAAGTCAGTCTGTCAATAGATTGGTCTTTAAGTGTTAAGTTTTTTTTTTAATGTCATCAACTATTGCACTGCAATAAAACCTTGAAGGTTTCCTTGTCAGTCTTGGAAAATACATTTAACACATTCATTTTATGAATATAATATTGCTCATCATTTATAAAACAGTCCATTATCCTATCCATTTTCTGCCTTCCTGTACTGTATAACTTTGCACTTGTCTGTGTTACCTTTCATTTGCCAAGTGTCTGCTAAATGTTAGACAGCGTATTTTTATTTTTCCATCACTGCTTCTATAGTTTGCCACTCCTTCTATTTTTGTGTTACCCGCAGACTTCAAAAGTTCAAGTAGGTAGCTGCGTCAGCATGCGTAGGCTGCAAAGGTATGACACCTGCAGAAGGCTCCACGGCCGAAACGTTGAGCCTCTTCTCTTTTCAGCATGGAATACGCCTTTACTTGTTCCATTACTTCAAACGTTTACTCTCTGTGCTGGAGCCAAGATCACAGGTATAAATAAAGAAGACCTGCACACCAAATACACATCCCTATGGTTACTCCACTCATGACTATACATCAGTCCAACTGGAGTTTTCTTCTCTTGAAGTTCATCTCCGCTTTCAAGGCATTAACTGTTCCAGAAGTGTTGCCTTTCAGTCCTTAATATTTCAGTTTCAAAATCAACATTTAATGTGGATTTTGTTCCACTTGAGAAATGCAACCCCCAATTCCTAAATTAATTATGAGAGGGGATACAAAGTTAATTAACATCCAGTGGATCCACTTTGGTGAAATGAAAAAAAACGCATGCGGAATGTATTGTATATAACCCCTTACGAAGTACGTAATGAAATTTACGTTGGATTGTTGTCACTCCTGCTATGGGCTGCTGTCCCACTAAGGGTGTATTCTGCATTGTGCCCATTGCTTGTTGGAATAGGATCCGGCTCATCTGCAACCCTTTACAGGATAAAGTGATTAGAAAATGAATAGATGGACGGATAAATGGAGGCAAGGGAGAACACTGTCAGTGTGAAAAACAGTACAGAACAAGGAGTTTTACACTGCCTCAGTGTGTCCATGCTATAGTAGCTCACATGAGTGGTACACAGCTTTATGGAGAAGGCCATGCAGTAGGAGTCACAGCCACTGTCCATAAGAATCACTCATAATCCTGTTTATACATGTACCAGAGGAGGTACAAAACCTTTAAACGGGTATATGCTCATTTCATCACACTTAGGATAAAGTTAAACACTGAGGAAGAAGAAAGAGATCAATAAAACATTCAAATCGAACGTTTTCTAGAATAATAAGACCATAATGACATAGGGAATGGCTTTCCTTTTCATTTAAAATGTGAGGTTAAACATTTTCAGTATCTCAGGGATCCTCTTCAGGCTTTTATAACCACTACAATATGCTTCCTCGTATCCTGCAGTAGTGCCCAAGCACTTCACATCAGGGATCTTGGATTGTTCCCCTTTCCCGACTCTCAAGCTTTTCCATTTATAGGGCTTTTGCTTAATGAATAGCTTTCTTTAGTTTCTTTCACAAATATTCAGTTGGACGGAGCCAAGGCGATTCAGACAACCCACCCAATTCTTCATTCCAAATATATAAAACGAAGTGAGCTGTTCTCTACGTCTCTTGGTGAGCTCTTTCAACTGCTGATACAGTAGTTGAGTGGTCCCATGTCTCCTTATTCAGTAGGTGGATATCTAGTCACATCTATTTGCTGCTGTGATCATAGCTGGAGATGAATTCACCAGTTCAGTCTATTAATCTGATTCCCGAATTCGTTTTGGTAGGGCAGTATACTGTATATGCACACAACAATATGAATACTTTATATGTTCATATGTATGTATGACACTGTATTGTCTTGACCAAGATCATTAACAGGTCTGTGGAAATATCCCTGCCCCAAAGATATTAAAAACTCTGTTAGTAGCCCAATAATCAGTTAGTATTAACTTGATCTTTAGCCTCTTATCCAAGTCACCTATAAAACATGAAGGCTATGTTGGAGCCTTACCTACTGTAGCATTAAAAGATGCATATTTATTTTATCCTACTGTAATACTGGCAAAATGTCTTTTTTGGTTCATGTTTCTTTTTTATTCTCCAGTCACATAAAGATAAAAAGGCTTTGGCACGTTGCAGGTTAATTAAAAGTAGATTTTATTAGATTATTTGAAAAGAAAAAAAAAACTGTTCCAAAAGCATTACAGTTCACCCTTATTTTGGTTATTTACATTTATATTTTTACTTTTAACATTGAGCAGATGATCTGAAACGTTCTGATTTTGCAGAAAAAAAACGATTAATGCCGAAGGAAGACTTGAATGCAACAAATGATTGTCCAGACAGTAGTTGCAAAGCACAATATACAAGTATTCAAACAAAGGTGCAGGGGGACTTTTAAAGGAAAAGAACATTAAATCACTCCATATTAACACTGGTTATCAGGCAATTTATATTACAAGCACTGAATGTAAAAGTTTCCAATCTAGGATTACATATCTTGTAGTGACAGCATGCAAGAATCTGCCAATTGAGGTATTTTCCTATAAAATACAACTATTTCCTTCGAAATTTTAACCAATATTAGAAATAGAGTCATTTACAAAATAATTAGTGTGGCCATATATCAGATTTTTTCATAACAGACAAAGCGGTATGACTACATGGTTTATAGTAAACATTACCAACTTTCCTTGTATGAGAGTAAAAAAAAAACTGTGTCATGAACAATTGCATATGTTGTGTGTTGCTGAGAATAATTAACATTTTCCGAAAGATAACGAAAAAGGGAAATCTGTTACACAAGGATTTTTTTTTTCTAGTTTTGAGTGGTTTAAAAACAGTTACTGGGAGAAATATGATCAACCAATCTCCACGTTAGCTTGCTGATAAATAAATGCACTGGCTTCATACCAAAGGCATACAATAAGGGGTGGAGAGGTGTCTTAAGACAGTAATATGAGAGCATACAAAATCATTTTTACATCTTACAGTCTTTTGACATAATAATTGAACAATTATTTATAATGTATGTAGAAAAATCAAGTTGTCAAACACTAAAGCATGTTGCACAATAGTTCTGAAAGTGCAATTGTATTGTGAAAAAGTCCTTTTAGCATACTAGTTACACAGCAATGTAAAGTACTGTATTGCTATCAAATGACTGTACATTTTTATAGCTTTAAATATGGCTAACAAGTGGTACATGATGTCATCTCACAGACTAAGCTTTATATTACATGAAATCTGCTACATTTGCAACACGTTTAATTTTAATGGAGCTTCTTGACTTAATTAAGGGATTTTGTATTTTGATATTCTCTCCTCAAATGTTCTCTTCTTCACAAACTAGACACCCATTTAAAACTTCAGGCCCAGCTGACAAAAAGCATGACAGAGGAATAGATTTGACATGTGGGTTTGTGCTGTTTAATCACTAATCTGTCCTGTAAAATTGCTCTTACTTTTTTATTTACAAGTACAATGCAGAAACTGCAAGCAAGCAAAGATTTTGTGATTGATTAACCCTCCTTTGCTTGAGCACAATTAGAGATACCCCTTTAATCAGGTGTTAAAAAGTCCCGATTCATCTTACACTTAAAGTGAATGCAAAAGTTTCCATATTGTTTGCACACATTGTAGTTGTAAATGAAAAATAAAGCATGGATGATTTACAAAAAATGATGTTTCAGTTGTAGGTTGGGAAATCTGGGAAATATGCCTTGAACAAATATTAACTGAAATCTTATAGGATAACAGAAAAGAACAACAGAAGCCCTGTACATGTACAGTATATACCATATGAAAATGATTTTTTATTACTTCAAGTACAGTACATGATATACTGATTTTGAGTTGGCAAACGAAGAACTCATAGATTGCCTATTGTTGGGGAGAAAATCGAAAATAATTTAACGAAAACGTAGATGAAAAAACAAAGCAGAAATCTTAATTACACTGGTACGTAGACCGTCCTTCGTTGTTGCGTATGAGCGTTTCACCTCGTGATCTAGTACAATGGAGTATTGCCAACGGCACTGAAAACAAACAAACCTGTATTGCACACCCTTCCCAGAAGTTTTGGTCTCCCTCCCAGCTGTGTTGAAAGGGTGCTGCTCTCCCTCTCAGAAGAAAGCAGGGTTGGTGTGCTCGATGACGCAGCGTTTGCAGTGGCGCTTGACGAACCTCAGAGCCTCCACCGAGATTTCGCAGTCCTGCACGTTCAGCAGCTGCAAGTCGAAGCAGTTGGCCGCCACGATCTGCAGCCCCCGGCCGGTGATGCTCTCGCACGACTTGAGACTGAGCCGCTTCAGGTTGAAGCAGTTGAGCGCCAAGAACTCCAGGCCGCCGTCGGACACCAGGGGGCACTTGCCAATGTCCAGAGACTTGAGCTTGGCGCAGTTCTTCGCCAGGTACTCCAGGCCATGGTCCGTAATGCCCTCGCAGCCCCGCGCGTTGAGGTACCGCAGCTTGGTGCAGTACTTGGCCACGTAGCGGATTCCCACGTCCGTGATGCGGCCGCAGTGGGCGATGCTGAGGTAGCGCAGCCGGGACTCCAGCTTGGCGATCTCCCGCAGGCCGAAGTCGCTGACGAAGCGGCAGTCGCTCACGCTCAGCTCCTTGATGGCGCCGCAGTGGATGACCAGGTAGCGCAGGCCCTCGTCGGTGATGCGCACGCAGCGGCGCAGGTACAGGTGCGTCAGCTGGGTGCAGTGCGCCGCGATGGTGTGCAGCCCCTCGTCCTCCAGCACGAAGCAGTCCGTCATGTCCAGGTAGCGGATGGAGATCTGCTTGCCGTGCAGGGGGGACAGCTTGACGGAGACCTCCCGCGTCAGGCTGATGCAGGTCACCTTGGAACAGCCTGCCGGGAAGGGGAAAGAAAAAAAAACAACATATGTATTCTCGGGGGGCGTGAATTTACACGAACGGATCTGAAAATAACCGAAACTCGGGTTCTGTTCTGCTAGAGAGCCGTGTCAGTATGTCATGGCTGGAGAACAACAAGTGAAGGTTAATTCCATGCAAAAAAAAACAGAAGGGAGAAACACAACATTTCAGCTTTTGGGCCTTCTCATACCGGCAGCGCACACCTGAAGGAGGACCACACCTGGGTCAGTGTGGGACATTCCTTTAAGACCAGGAACGTACTTGGTCCCTTTTTTGAACTGATCCTTCTTAGGAGATGTTGCGTTTCTCCTTCCAATTTTTACGCATGGAATTAACCTTTGCTTGAAACAAGCACTCTCAAAATCATTTCACCAACTACGGCCCGATTTTAGATTAGCAGTAACAGAGTCATTAGGCTCTCGGTTTTGTTGTTTCCAATCTAAAAAATGGAAACTGGTCATCAATCGTGATAAAATAAAGAGTCAATAAAATAAAGAATCGATAAAATGTTACATAGTTATAGATATTAAATCCCACTACTACAGTACCGGTTAGAAATACTTGAAAACAAATTCAAAGATAAATAAAAAAAACATTGGCAAAAACAAGCTCTGCAATGGACAAATGGACAAATGTGCAAGTACTGTATAGAGACAAAAAATACAATACTTTGCCACATCCACAACCAGGAATTAATCATTCATGAAGAAAAAAAATATATTGCTTAAGGACTGCCCAACAAAAAATATGATTAACCATAAAGCAAAATAAAAACATAAAGCAAAAGCCTTTCTACTCACAATGACCTGAAATAACATGCTGTCTACTGGAGTGCTGAAGCGTCTGTGTCAGAAACACCCACAAGGCCCGGTCACCCAGGCGGTGTTAGTGGCTGACTGACAGCTGTTTCCAATGTGTTGCCCTTCAAGAGTAATGTGGCCACTTCAGAGACGAATATCCACTCAAACTAATTCAGCAACTTATTGGAACAGTCTAATACATACCAAATTATAAATTCATTTTCCCATCAGAAAAATTGAAATACTATGGCCAAAGACTTTGAAGGATTTTCCACATGACCAAATTACACATTTCTATATGGAAAATATAGAGACATTAATAATCCCAGTCAGCATTTTTTGTGGTAGGTGGGTGGAAACCAGATTGGCTAAATAAAATTTAAAAAAAAACAACCAGCAAGAACACGCAAACTCCACACACAAGGCTTCATTTTTGGGAATCAAGACCAAACTTGAAGAACTGTGAGGTGATAGCTTAATTTTGGCAAAATATGTGTTGGGAGTCTGTCTTGCTTGTTACACAAATGCCATTGTTGACACCAACATGCTGCATTAAGTGGGGGAAATGAAATGCTTTCTGAACTGTTATTATGAAGATTATACCACTTTGGTTACCCAGTTTATGAGAGATTTTTATTTTTAGGCAAAACCACAGTGACAGTCAAACACTACAGCCAATCAATAAAATTTCGCTATTTTATGGTGGTCACTGTGGTTATAGACCATCAGTCTGTGTGCCAGGATGTTCCCATGGTAACAATAGTTGTGACTCTGTGACTGCTGTGAACCAATCCTGCCCATGTGACCAGGTGGTGTGCCTATCTCCCCACAAAGAAGAGTGACAAAACTGCTATCATATACTGTAGATCTCTCTGACATATGCTCTTATACCTTGAATATATTGCAAATCTGTACTTTTGTCAATTTATCTGATTCTATTTCAGTTCTTATTTAAATAGCACTGGCTTTCTTTTTTTCTCCTTTCTGACAAATATCCTCTCCAGAGAACTTTGAAACAGTTTTAAGTTCTATTATTGCCCAGGCCTTTTGTACACTTTCTACTACATACTTCAAATTGAGTTTTGTTGTTTACAGTAAAACAATTTGACTGGACTACTGAAACAATAACAACAACAAAAACACTTTTCAGCAGGCCGTTGGATATAGGTTTCATGACTAGCAATGGGATATTTATAGAGCCATCAATAAGTCGACACCTTGGAACTTAAGTCCAAGGGGGACTCCAGAGTAGTGTGTTCTAACTGGTCTCTAGAATTCTTAAGCCCCGTGTCATGTCACTAGCCGACTATGACCAAGATTCTCTCAGTGGTTCTCGCTATTGGCTGGGAATAGTTGGCCAGGGTGCTCTCAACACAACACGTCAGCACAGGATGGGACTGAAAAGATCTCAGGAAGAAAGTAGCTCATTTTTACTGGTGTAATATCTCTTAGTGCACCTGTGCACCCCTTGCAACCACAGCAGAAAATTGCCTGATATCCTGTACAGTAAGTAAATGCAGTATTTCAGAATGGTATCCGTGCATTCCTCCGCTGTGATGAACAAATGGACACAGGCCTTTCTCATAGACAAGTAATGTGAGAATTCTGACGGCCAGCAAGTGGCCCCCAGCTGCCAAGTATGTTTCTAAGCGATTTGAATTATCATCTGCTATCCAGGATAAGGCTCCTTTGCTCCTGCAAAACCACTGGTCAATGACTGCAGGATTGTGTCAGTAAAATGTGTTTTCTCATTAATCTTCTTTTAATTTATAAACCTAATAGAGAAACAGCACGAGATAGTGTGACAATTCTTTTGCTTATAGTTTTAATTATATTAACAACAAAAACCAGAACCAAATATCTTATATTTCTGCATTACCACTGCATGACCATGGTGAGCATCTTGGAATCACAAGAGCACTCGACTAGTTATTGGATTCAGTAGTATCACTAGGATTCATTAGATATGACTGGTTTGCCTTACTGTATATTGGAATATACTGTATGTTTGTCGACTATTGTGATTCATTTTATTTTTGCACATAACTGATTACCTGTAGATTTTTCAGGAAAATACTGAAGCTATTTCTTGCTTGTCAACCCAATTACAGTATGTCAGAACAATTTTCCACTCTATCACATGTTCTCTCAAGGGACCCTTGCTGCAGTACTGTGTGGTGGTCATCTCCAGTCTGTTGCAGGTTTTTTTTGCTCTTTAATTTTTTGCTTGTTTTCAATAATTACAGTATAATAGGGAAACATAAATAAAAATAAATATGTCAAAATACTGGACTTTTCCCACTATATAAGGAAAGTCAGCATTAATCTTATTTTAATATACACAGAACACAGCGGGCTTGAATTAAAAACATAATTGAGGAGTATACATGGCTCTAAAAATTCATTTTGTGCTGTCTGGCTTTTATTTAATTTCTTAAATGTTGCAGAAACTTCATAACTACATATACTTCATAACACCATTTTCCCCGGGGCGCTCCAGAGCTAAGTAATCTAGTATAGCAGCTTGGCAGCAGAGCTACTGTAGGCTGGGAAGACTTTTAGAGGACAGAGAGTTAGTGATTTTAGATTAGATTTAGATTTTAGATTTGGATGCAGCACCAGTGCAAGCAACACATAAGAACCTAAGAAACATAAGAGTCTTGATAAAAATACTGTTTTTGAAACTCACAAAACAACATCTGAATGGCTGTATTTCACAAAACCGTTTTTTGTTTTATTTAAATTAGCCCATTATTTGTACATTGACAGAACTTATGTACTTACTGTATGTACTTAATGTATTATGTACTGTATTATGTACTAAATTATGTGAGAGAAACCGAGTATTGTTTCTCTCAGGGAAATTTTGAATTTTTACTTGTATCTTAACTTTCTTGTATATTTTTAGAGTAATCACCATTATTTAAACCTCTGGGATGCTGCTTCAGACTCACATCCTCTAATATGAAACGGTACCTAAATTAGTGACACAGAATGTGAAACTAGCCTGATTTCCAGATATCTGCTAGCAGCCATAGTACCCTGTAACTGGCAGCCCACTGAAGCTCAGCAGGTGTGAGCCTGGCCAGTATCTGGATGAGAGACCTCCTGGGAAAAAAGTAAGGTTGCTGCTGGAGGTGGTATTAGTGGGGCCAGTAGGGAGTGGGTCCTAATGCACTATAGTGTACAAAAGCGCTGTCTTTCGGATGAGACGTAAAACCGAGGTCCTGACCCTCTGTGGTCATTGAAAATCCCAGGGTGTTTCTCGAAAAAAGTAGGGGTGTTACCCTGGTGCCCTGGCCAAATTTCACATTGGCCTTTACCGATCATGGTCTCCTAGTAATCCCAATCTATGAACTGGCTTCATCACTCTGTTCTCCTCCCCACTGGTGTGAGCATACTGGTGCACTATGTCTGCGGTCACATCATCCAAGTGGGGGCTGCACATTGGTGGTGGAGGGGAGTCCCCATTACCTGTAAAGCGCTTAGAGTGGAGAGTCCAGAAAAAAGCTATAGAAGTGTAAGGAATTATTCTTAATTATTATATCACTGGAACTGACAGAGGCATTCTCTAGGGTGCTCATCACACAGCATGGTGGGCCTGTTCCTCATACGGTTAAGGGTGGGAGCTACACCTGTTAAACTGCTTCTCGAACCGCAGCGCGATAAGGATTTTCTAGCTGGAAAGGTAGACCAGCTAGATGCGGGAGCCAAGCCAAGCAAAATGAAATTCCGTTTTCCAAGCAGGTGCAAATAATAGAAGGTAAGTCCATACCCGAAACGTCGAGATACTCCAAGTTGGGGCAACGCGACACGATGTCAAAGACGGCCTCGTTGGAGATGTTGTAGCAGCCGGACACCTCCAGCCGCCGCAGCTCGGGGCAGCATTGCGCAATGGTGTAGAGTCCCCTGTCGGTGAGACGCCGGCAGCCACTGACGATGACCGTCTCCAGCATGAGGCACACGTTGGGCGTGTCTTGGCACAGCCGGCGAGTCAGGATCCTCAGGGCGCGGTCCACATTCACCATGTCCCCCGTCAGGCGGATAGTCCTCCATAGCCGCGGGTCCCAGGCCAGGTTGTACCAGCGGCGACAGACCCGCGCGCAGCGGCAGAGCTGGTTCGTGGGCAGGTGGGAGAAGATCTGGATGAAGGAGTGGTCGGGCAGGATGTCGATGGGAGCCTGCTCCTTCTGCTGCCTGGACGCGGGCCGTATGTGGGGGTGGGGCAGGCAGGTGGTAGGAGGGGCATGCACCATGGCGATGGTCTCCCCAGTAACAGAGGAAGAGGAGGTGGACGAGTCCTTCCCGTTGATGCATGCCTGTGAACTGGGCGGGCAGATTAGAGCAGGGCTGGGCGTGCTCAGCGTCCGCATGCTCAGGTCAGAATCTGCAAGGGAAACAGGGCATTAATTAACCGTACTGTACATTCAATAAAATCTGGCAAAACCTTTTAAAAAAATGGGAAAAGCCAAAAAATCCTTGAAGTGATTTAAGTTGAGTTTAAGGATTCTTGTATAGTTGTGGAAATACATAGAAATGTCCTTGCTTAATTATTTAAGCACGCTTGCAAAAAATGAATAACCCTGTAGGGACTAGTTACTTTCACTGCTGTGCCCTTTCAGATTAAGATATTAACAATTACTATTTGGTTGTCACAATCTGAAGATAGAATAATGTATTGGTTGGCTACCTTGATGTTACAAAGCTATGGTTTCTTTCTTTGGTTCGTGAGTGATTTTCTGAGGTGTTTTTTATTGATCTTATTCAGATCAATTCATTTTATGCTTGCTTTTTAGTTGAACAATCCACACAAAATACAAATAGAAGGGACTGACTGACCTTATACATATTACATATTACATGGCCATTCACATGTTATGCACCACTGACCTATATTATAAGGGATATCTTTCATCAAAAACTCCTTGTCTTGTGTGCTTTTTGCCATGTATTTCCATCTATTAGTTCCTCGTGAAAGATCAGTTTATAACTTTGTCCTGGAATCCCAGAGCTTCTCCTGTGACAACACCATGAACACTGATTAACCTTGCTAGGATGTCCATTGTAGGTGGAAGGAATCTGGTGTACTCAAGGAAAACGCAGAACTATTGCAGTATTGCCGTATTGCAACCAATACAGTGATGCTAGGGGGAATGATTAAACTGCAGCACAACCTGTTTCCTTTCTGAACCCGACAGGACATCTTCAGCCCCATTGGCAAAGTAAGAGAGACTTGGGGAACACTGGACACTATGATCAGATAGAAAAAGTATGAATAGATACTGCCCTTAAAATCAATCAAATTAATCTAAATTAAGTTTCAAATGTACAGAACCTTCTGGCAAAACAGCAATGATTCATCACTAAGAAGATACTGAGGGCTCTCTTTCTTCTTTTCTCACTGTGTCTGCATTGTTGCTTGAATACTATTTAAGAATACCAATGAGGCCATAACGACAAGTATACTTCAAAGGAGGTGTGGGGTTGTGGTGAGATTCAACAAAAATATCCCAGACCTCTGAAATTCAAAGCTGACAGCCCTGTGTGTGCAAGCCATTTAATACGTTTTGAAAACCAGGTCAAGAGAGCAGAGGAAGTGACATCTCATATATTCAGCCTGAGAACGTGAGCTGTCACGAGTGCACATATTAAAATCCGAAGCTAATTTCCTGTTTCCACAGAAAACATTGAGAAAGCTCAATACGCAATTCGTCTGGTTTGTGTTTCTTTGCGATTTGAATACTCTGATTGTGACATTGACTTGAGCCATGAAATATCCATTACATAGAAATGTGTCAAAGAGCATAGATGATTTCAACAGTACACGTGTTTATTGTAATATAACGTCATTTAAAGCAATTTAGAAGGATGTTAACAGGAACACGTGGCAACTACAAGTGTGACCATAAAGGATCAATCTAAAATGTTAAAGAAAAAAAAATTCAGCTATATACAAGTCACTGTATTTTGTGAAAACGCAGATAAATGTGACTTAGCTGAAATTGTCTCAGAATATTTTTAGATTAAATCTGAATTCTGATTTTGACAGATTCTTTAAACAATCATTTCATTCCTTTTCTGAAGTTACAGTATGTGGAAGATGCATTAATGATTTTGAATACACAAAGCCCTGTATACAAATGGAAGGCCTGCTCTTTTCAAGGTAGACCGATATGCTGAATAAAAAATGGGGAATGTATACACAGTATATATAAATGATGAGTAATGATACTGTAGCACTTTAATTCAAATAACTGACTACAACATAACATATTTGTTAAAAACATGTAGTCCATAGATGTCAGTGCCGCAGGAAGGTACCACTTTGATGTAAGTCCACACTTTGTGTACGTATTATAATGTACCTCCAAAGTACAATACATAATTTAGGAGAAAGTTATAGAAATAGATAAGTCTAAGAGTTTTTGTCCTGGCAACTATAGAGTCTATAAACAATTTGTCCTTATGCAGCACATTTCAAGCTCATATTGAGGTCCACAGAAACCAGGACAATTTATTATTTTTAATATATGTGATGAGGGTAAAAAACACCACGAACATCTGGGATGGTTTTGTTGGCATTTCTGGAAACCCTTTATCATGTTCATACGCCCACTATTAAATTGGAGCATATATTTGCTGGCAAACTGGGATAATTCCCCAGGTGAAGGATCTTATTGACCTAGGCTATGGCCAAACGCTGGACACAGGACCCAGCAGTGCCAAGCATTGAACAAACAGGCCGTTCCTAAGGCCTGTTTTTGTTTTACAGTACGTTTGCGATTCTGTAGTGCTTTTTTTAATCTCTGACAGCCTTAAAGCTCTTCATAGACGAGGTCTCACTCTCTGGAGGTGGTGCATGGTGGCCATTTTGTATGAACAGGAATTTCCTCAGGACACCAGGCCCTGACACTATCATTGCCAAGGACATTCAAGAAGTAGACAAGGACCTGCTGCAGTTTCACCAGGTAGACACCATGGCCTACAGGATATTGTCCTTTGCCATCATCCTAACAATTGGTTAAGGTTAGGAAATGAGGACCCTCTTCTGGTCTACCAATGCCACTTTTGGCATCAACCGGTTTAGCCTAACTGTTTCCACAAGCTCCTGTTAACATAATATTAAAGGTGTCAGCTCTTTGAGAACTTTTTTCATATGAAGTCAAACCATTTCAGCACTCGATCCCATTTTTTCTAATTCCCCTAGAAGGTATTCCAAATTTCAAATCAGAAATTGCAACAGCATTTTCATCTATAATCTGTATTTTTTTATCGTGACAGTGAGCTAAGCCAACCACATCAACTATAAAACAACTATAAAGCAATGTTTTCAAGAACAGCTCAAACAATAACAATAGGGTCTATTTCTCAGTACTTCTGTGTGGCCTTTTCTTTGGCTCCTTTCCCGACAAAGTGGTTTAAAATGAACAATTTGTAGAGCCATTTATCAGCAGGACACAGTTCAAGATTTGCAACTTCCGTCTCAGAGATTATTTCAACAAAAATGAATTTGCTTTGTTTACTGGACAAGTTCTCCCTTTAAATTATTTAATGTTCAATTAATAAACACTGCTCCCTGTGAAAACAAGACTGCAGTCTACTTTCTGGGATGATAATGGATGATTAGGATTTTATCCATTATCCATTAGTAGAAAATACATGTGTGGTTTCAAAAAGTTTATCTTTCTATTTCTAATTGCTTTTAGTTGTATTTCTTCTTAGTTTTGTTGCAAAAGGCTTTTATCTTAAAAAGGGCTACCATTCCTTTTATGGACTTTTAGTGATAGGCCTTAATATTGTTTTAGATTTAATATAAGAACATGCTACTTAGGAAACCTCTGTTGTGGATTGCATTGCTTCATTTGGTATTGCAAGTTGAGCCCTATGTTCATGACACTACTATCTTGAATTTAGAACTTGGAACCAACCAGATGTGACAGGGATTGAACTGCAAACAGCAATGCATCATACGTGAAACTCAAAGCCAGAGAGGGCTTCCCAACAAAACTGGTTGTAGTGTTTTCAATGCTCAACTCTACTCTTAGTATTGTGGATGTGCAATATACTGTAGAAATTAATGGTGGACCACATGGTCTAGATCTTTCCTGTGGTGGGGTGGAAGTTAACAGGGTCTCATCTGGTCATCAATCCTTGATGAACACCTCTACATGATATAAGAGAATGACTAGCTATTCCAAACACACACAAAAAAAAAAACATATGGTATGAAAAAAGAACAGGGACAGTAACTGAATCTATCAGTAACTTCAGACAGAGGAGATAACTGTAGAGTTACTTTGAGAAAGCTAGATTGTTTTCAATGGTAGTGTTTTTCTTTTCCCTGTAGGCTCTTGACTCCAAGTGAATAATTGTTTATCCATGCTTCATTATAATGTTAAGATACTACTCTATATTAAGACATTATACCACTCCCAACTCAGGTGTGGAGAACACAATTTGGCACCAGTACAAAAAATACATCTGCTGACCTCATAATGTCATAAGCTCTGGAATCAGGCTAGTGCCAGGAACTTTTCTTTTTGCACAAGTGCACGCATTGCAATTCCACGTGGCGGACTGGCAAAGATTCTGTTGCTTCAGTTGGCACGCATTCCACTATTCCAGCTCAGTAATGCCATGTGTCTTAGGATGGCAACCGGAGCTTTATAAAAATAGAAACCTCAGAAGACAGGCAGAATACATCATCAGGGAAAACTGTCCAGTTTTGGAAAATGAAGCTCACAAAACCCAGAGATACTTGGGTTTCCCTCAAGCATTATAATTGCGAAAATAAATCTGTCAAGTTTCGGTTCTCTGAGTTACTAATCATGGCAGTCCAAACAATATTTGTCACCCTTCCAAAAGTGCATATGGAAACCTCTCTAAAGCATTTAAGTGGCAGACTCACATTGTTCTGCCTGTGGGAGCTCCGATATTCAACAGCTGGGTTTAATACAGAAACTCAATGCCCAGATGGAAGATAGCTGAAAGAGAGAGCTCTTCTGTGTCTGTGGCATTACTCCAGGAATTTATAATAAGTTATATCCACACACAAATTTAGTATATTTTTGTCCTAAACACATCCTGTCAAGCAATTACAAAATATTCTAATCTGTATGATCTCAGAATAATGTTATTAGAAATGATGTACACATTTTGTTTATATTACAGGCAGTGCCTGAGAGGGAACAGGGAATTGGTAAAAGAAGGATTGCCAAGTATACAAGACGTGTTCCTGCAAATAGCTGCTTTTCTCCCTAAAATTCCCCTTTAAATAAGAACTCTCCCAAGGTAGCAGCAGAAGCTCTGCTCTTGGAACGATGATGCTGTTACACAGCACATGGCTTCTTTCATGTCACTGGGTTTCAGGCATCTGCATACCACATC